AACATTTCGAAATTGCTAGATTATTTCTTGTGTGAGAAGGTGTCAAGCGTGCTGGCGGTTCACCTGATGACATAAAAGTCTTCCATGGACATCTGCAACAGCCAAAGGGTTGCAGACACGTTGTCACCTTTAAATAAAGAAGGGTCCGGCTACCTCACTCACCAAATCATACGTAGAAGCACTTGCACTTCACGCCAGTCTTCAGTGGTCGAGGTACTTACTCAGACGAGCTGATGGGCATTTTACTGATGCAGTTGTATTTTTTCTGGTAATTTTCAATACTTATATATTACAGTATCTCATATATAAAATATTGCAAATGTTTAGGATGGTGGCGTGGCTATTAAATTAAATATAATATATAAATTCTATAGTTCCTATGTAATCGTGTCGATCGTTCTCTTTTCACACCTCACCCTCTGAATGATTTCGAATGAAATTTAGAATGAAGATCGTATGTATCTACTAATTAATTACAAAATGTTCTGTGGTAAATTTCCTTCGAGTACGTATAGCCTGCCTCCATTTCATTCGCTTTAAACCTCGCTTGGAAGTTCCATAAAACAAATTGTATATTCGTGAACACAAAATATATAACGATAGAATAGAACGCTGTTCTTTACACATTTTCAACATAATCAAACTTTAAAATTCAAGATCACAACTCTTGCGAAGGCGCTCGCCCACTTTATTAAAAGGTTGCATTTCTAACCCTACGGGTGATTCAAATGACCGTGGGCGGTCGATATAATTTAATATCGTTAACTGTCAGCTGGCTTGCCACCACCACACATAAAGTCAAAGTCAAAGTATATTTATTCAATATAGGCCTAACTTAAGCTCTTATTGAACGTCAACAAAAAATCTACCACCGGTTCACTAAACTAGACCTGCACAGAGAAGAACCAGCAAGAAACTCTGCGGTCTTGTTCATGAAAATAGTATAGGCCACGCAACAGTGTTCGCTGTTGCACGAAGGGGCAGGACCGTCCGGGTAAGTACCATGACCTCACAGAAGACCGGCGTGAAGTAGAAGTTTTGCACTTCTGCGTTTCGTCTGGTGAGTGAGGTGTTCGGGGCCCACTTTATTAACAGGTGAACGCGTCTGCAACCTTACGAGTGTTGCAAATGTCCGTGGGAGGCGGTTATCACTTAACATCAGGTGAACCGCCAGCTCGTTTGCAACTTCTCGCATAAACAAAAAGATCACCGGAATAAGTAATTACTGCACACGAGTAGGGTTCATGCCACATTTATATCAACAGATTTATAAACTAGCAACACACCTCATGTTATATTTGGTCGTCGAGCGCCTACACTAAAGACAGCCGCGACTGTAATGGCACCGCATTATCCGATGGACGTCATGAATAAGTTATTTAAATGGCGGATCGATATACAAGAAAACTGGCACGCTACGATAGACAAGACACGTTTCAAAGCGTGTCGCGTTTCCGTGCAGTTGAAGACAACGCTTGCCAATTTCCAGTTAAGCGGTTTAACAGTAGGCTGTGGAGGAAGTGTGTAATTGAAAATTACAGTTGTCGATTTAATGCTCTCGATGGCAAAGTGTCCATCATACCGTGAAAACTGCACGTAATGCGATAAGAAAAACAAACAAACAGTCAATTAACAAACAACACGGCCAATTATTTAATCTTTGACCTTGATTGTGTATATGTACTTTAAGATTAAGAATGCATTTTTGTTACTAGTTATAAGTATATAAATAAGGCAATAAAGTGATTTTTACTTATTTATTTATTATTCACAAAATGAGAAGATTTTTTTTGTGAGAAGGTGGCAAGTGAGCGGCGGTTCACCTGATGTTAAGTGATAACTGCCGCCCATGGACATTTGCAACACCCTTAGGGGTGTAGATACGTTGCCAACTTTTAATAAAGTGGGCCCCGGCTACCACACTTCGCGCCGGTCTTCTGTGAATTCGTGGTACTTCCCCGGACAGACCTGCCCATTCGTGCAACAGCGAGGACTGTTGCGTGGCCGCACCACATACAAGTGGTGAGCCTGTCGCATTACAAATGAGACAGTGAAATAAATAAACCAGGAACACTGACGTTCGCTAGCGTGTTAACTGCCGGCCTATACCTTGGGGACCGTTTAACCACAGTGAAACGTTTAAAAAATAACGATAATAGCGATAACGTAATATCACGTTTAATTAACGTAATAACACGTTTTACGTTTGTAAAAAGTTATAACGTTATAGACTTTGTTTAATACTTCGACGGTAGTAAACTTTTATGAGCCGCAATTAATGTAGAGCGTATAATTAAACAATGGCAGAGAAATTAGTAAATAGATGGAGAATAACATAGATAGAAATAATCTAAAATAATGTGGCGCTTTCTTGTTGAGTTCTGGAGCAAATTTTCATCGTACTGTTCTTACTATTGTTAATTTTACACTGACAAAATATCATAATTGAATATTATTATACTTTTCGGTCATTACATAATTTTGAATAACGCGTTTTATTCGTCTGAAGCATCTGCAACACAGCTTCATTATACGCTATTAGTTATACGCGTAAATGTAACTTGTAAGAGGATTGACAAATTAAATATTGCTTAACTAATAATTTTCTCCGACATAATTCACTGATTTAATTAATAAAAGAATTTAATAATATAATTTTTACGATCCCCGCTCTTCGATTCCAGGCGCAAATTGTAAAAAGCGTAATTGTATTTCTGTTTCACATAGGAACTTTAATTTTATCAATGATAAATAATAATAGTTATATAGGTATATAAATAATATAAGTATAACAAAATAAATAAAACTGACAAGCCATGCGACCGGTATCGAGGTTTATATATTTTTTTTATGTGAGAAAGTTGCTAACGAGCTGGCGGTTCACCTGATGTTAAGTGATAACCGCCGCCCGTGGACATTTACAGCACCCGTAGGGTTGTAAATGCGTTGCCACCTTTAAATAAATGGGCTCCGGCTACCTCACTGACCAGACGAAACGCAGAAGTGTAACACTTTAGGCCGGTCTTCTGTGAGATCGTGATACTTACCCGGACGGACCTGCCCATTCGTGCAACAGTGAACACTGTTGCGTGATGATACCACAGTTAATAAATAAATGTATATTTATTTTACAAATTATCATATGGTATGCAATCATATTAACATCAATGGCGAATACATCACCCACCTTCGATTTGCCGACGATATAGTCATCATGGCAGAATCGCTGGAGGACCTGGGTGCTATGCTCAATGACCTCAACAGTGTCTCCCAACGGGTGGGCCTTAAGATGAACATGGACAAGACGAAGATAATGTCTAATGTCCATGTCACGCCTATACCGGTTGTTGTTGGGAGCACTGAGCTCGAAGTTGTTGACGAGTACGTTTACCTAGGACAGTTAGTCCGGCTAGGTAAGTCCAACTTCGACGCAGAGGTCAATCGGCGAATCCAACTCGGATGGGCAGCGTTCGGGAAACTTCGGCAAATCTTCTCGTCGAATATACCTCAATGTTTGAAGACTAAATTCTGCAATCAATGTGTGTTGCCAGTGATGACCTACGGAACCGAGACGTGGTCCTTCACTGCTGGCCGTATGAGGAAGCTCAAAGTCGCTCAGCGAGCTATGGAGCGGGCTATGCTCGGTATTTCTCTGCGTGATAGAGTTCGTAACGAAGACATCCGTAGAAGAACCAAGGTAACCGACATAGCTCAGAGGATTAGCAAGCCGAAGTGGCGATGGGCCGGCCATATAGCTCGTAGAACCGGTAACCGTTGGGGAAGAAAGGTTCTCGAGTGGCAGCCTCGTACTGGCCATCGCAGTGTAGGACGACCCCCCACTAGATGGAGTGACGACCTGTGCAAATGTGCGGGAAGTCGATGGATGCAGGTGGCTCAGGATCGTACTTCGTGGCAGTCTGTGGGGGAGGCCTATGTTCAGCAGTGGACTCAAACAGGCTGAAATGATGATGATGATGATGCAATAATAAAAAATGAAAATGCGAAAATATGCGCAAGCATGAATTATTAACTCTATAAATTTATTTGTTCACCAGTCAAAGTTTACCAATAACGGAACGAAAAATCAGGATCAAAATTTGCTACTACCGCAGAGATGGAAAAACATTGTAAAATGATTTGAAATTGTTTTACTGAAATTTATGGATTAAGTTATAACTAGATTGGGCAGTGGTCATCACTATTACTAAGATCAGTAACGGTTTTAAATTTTAAAATGAACGCGTAATATTAATTAATAAGGACGTTACAGAAAGAAATTAAATTGTAACAGAATAAAGAAGAAATTCTACAGAATAAAGTTATTATTATATTATCATTACTACATTTTGATTCTTATGTTACACCTTCTGAGATCATCGAAAAGTCTGATACTGTTAATCCCTGCGCTTTGAGAATTAAAAGTAAATATGTAAGAAAGTTAGACATGTTTTTTTTTTATGCAGAAAAGGGGCAAACGAGCAGGAGGATGACCTGACGGTAAGTGATTACCGCCGCCCATGGACACCTGCAACACCAGAGGGTTCACAAATGCGTTGCCGCTGGGAACCTTCAAGAAAGAGTATGCTCGCTTCTTGAAGGTTCCCAGGTCGTAACGATTCGGAAAGACCGCCGGCGGTAGCTGGTTCCACAGTGGGTGCGAGGCAGCAAATGCCTTAAAAATCGCGCTGTTGTGGAACGCCGGATATCGAGGTCGTGTGGATGAAATTTAATCGGTTTAAGGAGGGCAACTATGGAACGCTGCTTTTATACATGAGAACTTGCAAAATATAGCTCTTAAGTATCGGATACAAATTGGATTTTAATTTAATTAAATAAAGTCCACGAGCACCAGAGATGATATTAGCTTATCACTAATAAAACAAAATCGGAACAGTTGTGGAAAAGCACAGGCAAACGAACAAACTAGTTTTATCTTTTGATTTTATCAATGCTGATGAGTAACTAGTAGAAAAGATTAATTCAGCGCTGTTTCTTTGCAGGAATCGTATCGAGAGGACGGAGTCGAAGAGATGGCGCGGGTCTGTTCGGAGAATTGTCGCCGCTTCAGTCTGTAAGTTCTTTTAATATATGCAATTGGACGTTATAAATTGAAGGCCGATATAATTGATTTACAATTCCTCCGTCTGGGTTTTATGTCGTCTCGTCCTCTTTGAAGTGCGTTTGATTAAAAAATTAATAAAATTTTAAATAAAGAAAAAATAAATAATATAAAATATTTTTTTTGTCTTAGATCGATTCCCAGAATTGTTTCTTCATTGCAGGACCAACCTTTGAATCGTTTAAGTGGTTTCAGAGATTACTTCTTACACATAATTTTGATAAATCTTAATTTTTAACAAAAAAACCGACTACAAACAGGAAAGTAAACACATTTTTAACACCGGGATCCGGGATTCCTTTACATGTTACCACCCTTGGGATATTTCCTTTTCAACAAAAAAAGAATCATCAAAATCGTTTCATAAACGATGTAGTTATTCCTCCTCTTCCTAATTCTCTTTTGAACTCGGTTAAAATCAGGAAACTGCATGAAAACTCGCCTCATCCACCAGATGTAGCTCCCAGCAGCTCCTACCTCTTTACTCGGGTCAAAATACACTTAAAAGGCAAATAATTTGAAGATGACAACGAACTAACAGGCCACTGTTAATGCGTTTTATGCGCACTGTACAGTCAAGACAAAGAATTTTTTTCTAATGGTATCCTGTAAGGCGTTTGGAAAAAAAAATAAACTAACTGTATTAAGAGAATTTTTAATTAACTTAAAATTATTTACGTGAAAAGTAGCTAAGCGAGCAAACGGTACTTCCACTATATCCAGACGAGTCTGCCCATTCGTGCAACAGCCGAAGCTGCTGCATGACCCTACCACCGTTAAAATTTAACATTAGGAGAAAATATTTTTTTTTGTTGAATAACCACGGTTTATTATGTTCATTACCATTTCTTTTAGATTACCCCTCAATATACATACAAGTCACACTAATTAAAGCTTTTACAGTTACTTACAAAAGGCATTTAAACAGGAGTGCGTAGCACTAATGCCCAGGAGTATCTTAAGTAACGAATGTGAGCACTAAAAGAAGTTTTACTCAAAAGTTACCTCCTTAGTGTATTAACAAATCTCACGAAGCACACGACTCGTATATACTAAAAAACTTCCCACTAAGGAATATTTCAAATGAGAGGTTTCTCGTTGGCTCACGTCCATTTCTCTCTAATGCGTTTTATTATGTTATCGTAAAACCGTCCCAAATAAATCACTCCATTCGTATTCTGATTAGTAAATAAATTGCCGACGCTACGCGAAAGCTAATTAGATACCAGTTTCGCTCCGTATGCGAAGTCAGACAGATTGGCTACGTGCGTCTATTTGCGGCGTGAAATTATTTATCTGGCATCTGATAAGCTGCTGCGATGGATCAGCGGAAAGGTCTAACGAATTACAAGTCCCCAATTTGTTTACGGAACCGAACTGATGTTTTTTTCATGTAAGAAGTTAGCAAAGGACCTGGCGGTTAACCCGGCGGTTCAGTGATACCGCTTAGGGACATTTGCAACACTCATAGGGTTGCAGATGCGTTGCCACCTTTTAAAAAGTGGGTCCCGGCTACCTCACTCGCCTGACGAAACGTGGAAGTATCACGCTTCCACTTCACGCCGGTCTCCTGTGAGGTCGTGGTACTTAACCGGACGGACCTGCCCATTCGTGCAACAGAAAAGTTCCGTGGCCCTATCACAGTTAAAGATGGTTTTGTACTAAGACAGTCGGTTGAAAAAATAATTGTTATCATAAAAATGGACGCACGAGAAAATTACTATTCAACACCGGTTAGGAATCTATTCTTCTTCTTCTTTAATTTAAGAGCTAGGCTCTTGTCGGTGCCAGTATCCCAGTACGTTGGCTGTGTAACACCCTCCATCCTGCCCTGTTCATAGCGCTGTCCTTAACTTCTCTATAGGAACAAACATTTATTTTCTTCTTTTGGACCCACCGCCGGGGGTCCCGCCGGATAACACTACACCCACAGCTAGTGTAACAACAATCACACCAGTTCGCCCTTGGCTCCGAGCACGGCGAGACCCACACAACGCGTACACAAGGTACACCCGCGTTCCGGGGCGGTTCTCACCGCTCCCAGCCACCGATTAGCTAAATGCACAGTCGACGGCCGTCGGGGTCTCGGTCCGAACCGGCGACCTCGACGGCCCTTAGATGACACACCATAGTAGTTAAACGCACGCATGAGCACATGCGTGACCCTACCCATAGCGGAGGGTTCAAACCCGTGGGTTCTGGCTAGCCCACCGGTTCTGCGTCCGATGAAGCTTTAATAGTCTCGGGACTGAACGCAAAAACATCAGTTAATACAAGATACAAGAAGTTTTCTTCTTTATTTGAGATATATGCCCTATTCTCGGTCTCCCTTTTACCCCGCTTTTCTTCTATCTCTCCTTCCATGATGTTGTAAATGAATCTGCCATGATTAAATTAATTAGATGCTTTAAACATAAATAATTCCCGCAAATTAATACTGAGTAATGAATGTATTGTAAAAATTCATAAAAAAAACCGGCCAATTGCCGGCATCTTTATAACGGCAAAAACATCATGTCTGTTGTATAGGAGCCCCACTGAAATATTTTTTATTCTGATTTTTAGTATATGATCTTATAGCGGCAGTAATACATCATCTGTGAAAATTTCAACTGTCCAACTATCACGGTTCATGAAATACAGCCTGATGACAGACGAACGGACAGACAGCGTAGTCTTCGTTATTTGGTCCCATTTTAGCCTTTGGTTACGGAACCCTAAAAATATATAACCAAAAATTTCAAACAAAACAAAATCTTAAACTCTGATGGATGAGATGTCAATTAAAATAAGAAAAGAGGGGTAAAACAAGCGTCAAACTTTGCGAATATCCTTTTCGGTTGAGATTAATTTAGCTTGAAAACATTCAAAAATACGATGTTATTTTTATAGAAGGGTGCCAAGCGTTTTAGTTGATATTAAATAATGGCCTGAAATAGCGTTGCCAGCCTTTAGAGGTAATAAGTGCCTTTACTACCTCCCTCACACGCACTTGTTTGTCTTCTGCCACGTTTTTTGGACATGGTCGTTAGAGTTCCGGTGCTTCGGCAGAATTTACACCTTCTTGTAATAATCGAAGTTATAATTCTTTCGGCGCGTTTGGAAAAATTATGGGAGCAAAATTTTTCGCACGCGCACCGACCCACGAAAAGCGATATACGGTAACCAATTTAATCTTGTTAACGTAATAACAACTTTTTGACATTAACCAATAATTCCAAGTTATTTAAATAAACCGTCATCACTTGCATCTGATGCATTTACGCTAAAGTATTATAATTTCTTATGTGCGTACATAAATACACACATAATTTTTGACGACCCGAATGGCGTAGTGGTTAGTGTACCTGCCTCCCGCGCCAGAGGGTGTGGCTTCGATCCCCACTACTGGAAAAATATTGTGTGATGAATATAGTATTTTTCTAGTGTCTGGGTGTTTATATATCTATAATATGTTATTATTTACAAAAGAAAAGTATGTTTAAGTATGTTTATCAGTTTTCTAGTACCCATAGTACAAGCGTTGCTTAGTTTGGGACTAGAAAATGTTGTGTAAAAATGTGTACTAAAATATTTATTATTATTATTATTATTTATTATTTAGTCGAATGATGACTCGAAGAGGTCAACAAAAAGTCACGAACCTTCCATTTTCACCGGCTCAGCCATCTCACAAACACGCCTTTAGCGATTCATAATCATGCTACCCTCGCTTTTGCACTTTCTTTATTCTTTTGTACAAATAGCTAGAAAAACAGACCCCCGTAAAACTTTTAATGGATAGAAACGTTCAACCGTCACGGATAATAAAAAGAATTCGTGTCATTTCATATTTCAATTTTTGTTAGAGAATTGTTAAGGTCCGTTAATGTCCTACCTCCGAAATGTTTTTGAGATATCTAGTGACATTTACAGTACATACAAATACAACGTGTTCAATATTTCTTCTAATAATTTATGTTACTTTTGTTAAAAAAATTAAAAAAATAAATAATATAATGAAAAGGGAAGATTTATGAATATTTTCTGTGTAAAAAGTAATTTCTGTAACCATTAGATCGATTCCTAGAATTGTTTCTGAAATGAAAAATTGTTTTTCATTACAGAACCAATTCTGGGAATAGTATCCTAAGTGATTTTTTGCTTATAGCGTTAATAGAATTCCTAAGTTTTTCTTAGAAATCTCGTTGTACGGACATTACAAATTAAAGAGCCGGTTGAAATTGACTGTTGTTGAATGATAAGATATTAATTACTATTGAGAAAATGCGTTGTATTTCTCACCATTGGTAATTCCGAAGCGAATCTAAAACTTAGAAAGAAGCAGAAATAAGTCATGTTAATAAATTATATAAAAAAGTTTTAATTTATTTATTACCATCACTTCAACAATTAATGGGTAAATTGCGAGAAAATGATAGAATAGAAAATGATGATTCTAGGCAGGAATTTTTTATACACTTTTGTACACTTCTCTCATTTTCCTTTCTTATTTTTTCGTTTCTTCAAAATTTTTATTTATTTCAATCATTGCCTACAGTGTAGGATAGCATTATCCTGTGTTGTAAGGACGATTATCTACATGAATTTCATCTTGTATTAACTGATGTTTGTGATTTCAGTCCCGAGACTATTAAAGCTTCATCTGACGCAGAACCGGTGGGCTAGCCAGAACCCACGGGTTTGGGCCCTCCGCTGTGGGTAGGGCCACGCATGTGCTCATGCGTGCGTTTAAGTATGGTGTCATCTAAGGGCCATCGAGGACGCGGTTCGGACTTTCGGTCCGATGGCCGTCGACTGTGCAATTAGCTAATCGGAGGCTTGACCCCCGGCGGTGGGTCCGGAGTATACGAATTTCATATACCTGTGGTAGGGACACGCATTAGCCTCGGCTGTTGCACGAATAAGCAGGCTCGTCCGGGTAAGTATCATGACCTCACAGATGGTCGGCG